CTTAGTAGAGGTTTCTATTGTAATATGGAAACAGATAAACAAAATAAAACTAAATATATTATGTGCTATATTGGAAAATAACAGCCTTGTAAGTAAATTTTAAATATATCAGTTGGGGGTTTGGCAGTACCAGTACCAGTGGAAGAACGGGCAAACTGTAGCGTTAAATGGGGGTAGTCACAAGTAAAGAAGTAAATCTGAGCAAAGACATGAAGAAGATGAGTGTTTGAAGGAGGTGAAAATAGCAAGTGGTATCCAGGGGAAGAGCATTCTAGGCAGAAGGAACAGTTAATAGCAAAGGCCCTAAGACCATGGTTAGAGCAGAGGAAGCAAGCAAGAAGGAAGAATGGTAAGAGAGAAATTAGTTTATGATGCAACAGGCAGATCAGGTAGTGTTTTATAAGCCACTGTAAGGGCTTTGGCTCTTAAGAAGTAAAATAAGGTTAGAGGGTTTGGAGCAGAAAAATGATGCGATCTGACCTTAGGTGCTATGTTGAGAATATATCAGAAACAGGGAAATGAGTGAAAACCCTACTACAATAATCAAGATAAGAACAATGATTCAGATGAGGTTAACATAATCTAGGTGGTAAGAAGTGGTCAGATTCTAGATATGCTTTGAAAGTAAACAGAATTTCAAGACAGACTAGATGTGGGGTATGAAAAATAAAATAGAAAAATTCTTGGCCTAAGCAACTAATATGAGAATATGCCATGAACTGAGATAGTAAAGACAGACAGGTAGAACATTTTAGGGGTGGATGAATGAGACAATGAGAACTTTTGGGACATGGTAAATTTGAAATGTCCTGAAAGCTAAGTGAAAGAGGTGTATTTAAGCAGAAGGGAGCAATCACCTAGATCAAATGCTATTCACAGGTCAAGATGAAGACTCAGAATGACCACTAGATTTAGCAATTTAGGTCACTGTAAAGTTGATTTCTTTCAAGTAGTTTTGATACAAAGAAAAGCAAAAAAAATAAAAAAAATAAAAATAAATAAATAAATAAATAAATAAATAAATAACAAATAACTTGGGGCAACTTGGGCAAGACAAGCTAAATGAAAGTAACAGAGATTTTACCTGAGAGCATGGAGTTTGACTTTGACAGACTTCTAAAAATTGATACTCAGAAGACAATAACAGAGTCTCCATAATCTATCATTACAAATATCTAATACATAATCCCAAATTCCTAGGCAGACAAAGAAACAGGAAAATGTGACTCACCAGACATTAGAATTAGCAGTCAAGAATTTTTAAAGTAGCTATATTATAATTATGCTTAAGGATATAAAATAAAATCTGTTGAAAATAAAGAGGAAATTGCCAGAAAACAGAAACTATAAAACTATAAAAAAAAGAACCAAATGGGAATTCCAGAATAAAAAATGTGCAATCTGAAATTTAAAAAAAAATCATTGAATGGGCTTAACAGCAGATGGGACATGAAAAAGAAAGAGTCAAGTGAACTTTAAGACAGGTCAACAAAAAGTACCCTATCTGAAGAAAAAAACAAAAGATTTGAAAAAATAAACAGAACCTCAGAGATCTGTGTGATAACACCAAAAGGTCTAAAATATGTGTAACTGGAATCTCCTATGGAGAGAAGAGCAGGATGGGTCAGAAAAAGGGCTGAAAGAAATAATGGACCAGCTCTGCCTCAAAACTGTTAAAAAAACAAAAAACATAAATTAAAAAATTCAAGAAGCCCAGCAAATCCCAAGCAAGATAACAGGAAGAAAACCACACTTAAGCACATCAGCATTAAATGTCTGAAAGCGAAAAATAAAAAATAACTTAAAAGCAGCCAGAGAAAAATGACTCATCATACACACAGCAGTAACAATATAAATGTATGTGACTTCTCATCAAAAACAATGGGAGCAGGAAGACTGCGGGATGACATCTTTGAAGTGCTGAAAGAAAAAAACTCAACCCAGAATCCTATGCCCAGCGAAAATATCCCACTGGAACAAAAGTGAAATAAAGGCCTTTTCAGATAAAGAAGTCTAAAAGTTATGTCTTTAGTAGATCTGCACTCAAAGAAAAACTAAAAGAATTTCTGCAGGTAGAAGTTAAGTGAGGCCTGCCAGAAGCTTGGTTCTTCAGGAAGAAATGAAGAGCAATAAAAATGATAAATGGGTAAAATAGGAAACAAATTTTCCTCTTAATACATTTAAAGTACACAACTGTTTAATAAAGATCTCATTGATAGCATAGATTAATGATAAATCAGCCTCAGAATTGGTTTCTCCTTTCTTACCCATCCCCCTAATATTTAAAGAGACGTACAGTACCTGTTTTAGTTTCAAAAAGAAGTTTTCAGTAGTACTACGTTTGCTGAATGGCCAGAATAATCTTTCATTAGGTGAGCAAACTCGGACTTTTGTTTCTAGGAGAAATCGAACAGGCTCCTGTACTTCTGTTATTACCAAATCAACAGCTGTAGTCATAAACAGCACTTTATCTAGAGAGGGAGAGAGGCACATAAAAGAATGGAAACACATTTGCTTATATGATTAATGTAAAAGTAATTGCTTTTATTACAACTTTTAAGATATCTTAAGGTAATCCATTAATAAGAATCTAAAATAATCAGACAAATCATTGTTTTGAAAATTTGTTTTCTGTACTGAAATGCTTTTCTTGGGTAGATTCTCTGAAGTGGATTTAGTGAGAGCAGTATACAAGTACACAGTAAAGCTTATGAAATGTACTGTCAGGTTGTTTTACAAAAGTGACATATGACTTCGTTATGCCACTCTCACCAACACTGAGAATTCCCAACTTTAAAATCTTGGTTAACAATGGTAACTGTTTATATCCTTTATCCATTTATCTACAGTGCTATGAATACCCAAAAAAAAAAAAAAAGAAGAGAAAACAAATGCTCAGTAAGAGGCACTAGTTAAGCAAATAATTCTACATTTTCAGGATAGGATATTATGTAACCAGTAAATAACATTCAGGAAGAGTACAAAGTATCTTGAAAAAGGTTGTTTATGCATAGAAGGTTAAGCCACATAGGAAACTTTTCATAGTGGCCCCTTTAGAGTGAGGTTCTGGGGACTGTGGTGATTTTTACTTTTCCCTACACATCCTGTGAATTTTTAACCATATGTGTATATATTATCTCTCCACAAAAATAAATAAAATTTAGAAGTCTAAATAAATGCATATACAAGTAGAAAAAAAGCAGGGAAGGGAAAAAATGAGAAGAGAGAGAGGGAGAAAAAAATAAGTGGGGAAAAATGATACTTTGTCAAATTTAATAAACTGAAAGAACTATTCAAATTCTTTGGTTTCACCAGAATTAGATTAACACTGCAAACTTGTCCAATACATGGTCCTAAACTCTAGGTATCTTCTTAGGATTAAGATTTCTGTCCACGATGTCAGCAATCTGCACTACCTTTTGGAGTTTCTTCATTTACAACTTGAAAATGTGGGGATTTGGGATTCCAGCTCCCAGTGATAACATAAGACTTCCCATCTGAACTTTTGCCCATAGATTCCTAAAGAAAAGAGTAAAACAAACATTAATGCCAAAGTAAAGAAACAAGAGCTAACCCCATTTTGCTGCCTTTAAAAATAGGAGTTGCAAAAATGTAAGAATATGAAAGAGAATCAGCTATTTTAAGGAAAAAAAGGTAGGAGTACCTGAGAATGATTACAGTTAAAATTTCAAATGTGGCAATTCTTTATGTAATTGTTCCTGCAAAGTTACAATAAGTAAATGCTTATAAATCATACCAACTTCTAATTAGAGAAATTTACTACCTAAACCTATGTTGAATTCTTCTATCAAGTCAATGATTACTACATAAATTTTAGTTCTGAAAATATTTTCATGTAACAGAAATAATACTAACATCACCTACTTTTATAAAGCTCATGATAGTTTGCAAATAATCCTCTCACAACTTTTCTTTTGATTCCCAAATCAACCCTACATGATAAACAAGAATTATTCACTATTACAGTCAAGAAACTAGTAAATAGCAAGTCAGTAATAAATTCCCTTATCTTTATTTCTTCATATCTTACAAGAACACCTTCATAAATGTGCTTTAACATTAGACTCGGATGAGATAAAGTAAAACAATCTTCACTGAGGAAACAGTTTATAATCTAAAAAAAAAACCAAAACAATCCTTACCAAATCTAGTAAGTGCATGTCACTGTTTCGTACATCTTTTCCTGGGCTAAGGAGAAGACCAAAACACCTGCAAAAAAAGAACTGACATAAATTTGGAAAAAAGAACACAAAAAAGATGTTTATATTAGGTCACTTAAAAAAATTCGTATTGATGAAAAAAGGACACATTAAAATTATCAATAAATTGTCATTGCCAAAATAATTACTTCTTTGAGATAAGCAAATTCTATGCCTTTGATTATCACATAAAGTTGGCATATCTGTGAAAGATTTATGGGAGATAATTGAAAGTGAATGAAGTAGCCAATTCAATAACCAAAAGAATTTGCAAGTACAAAATATTCTGCAAGTACATGTTTGAAGATAGTATATGATTACTCCACTGGACTGATAAAAACTAAAATTTATATTTAAGCTAAACTTACAAAAAATGTTTACCTTTCAATGGCAAGTTCTTTATTAGTTGTTTGTTGCACGTTGATGACAATCTTCTTATCGATGCCTTGGCGTAATTTAAAACATTGTCTGTCCTTATCTTTAGGAACTGCACTGTAGAACAACATGTTTCATTAATTTTGCAAAGTATTTTCTTGTGACATATACTAGAACAATTTTTGCTATGATTTAAAAACCATAACCAAACCATTTCTGTGCCTGTTTTTCAAATCCTAACAAATTTTAAAACTATCATCTGCTTCTTGATGTGAAAATATACCACTACTGTATGTAATCCACTAAACTATTTGTAAAAGCTAGAAAAACCACTCCTCTGCCCCCTAAAATGGGGCCTTTTTCTTTTTTGTTGCTGTGAAAATTAAATATTTGTAAAGCACCTAGCATGGCACCCAGCACATAGCTGCTCAAGAAGATGTTAGTTTTCTTTCCTTTCTAGTCACTGTTTTTGACAAATAAATTATTATTGCCTTATTTGTTTAAATATGTAAGATTCTTAATCATAGATCCTTTGCATTTCAAAACAAGGTGCCTTCAAAAAATCGTAAGAGATGAAGAAGATACTGCCAACAGGAAGCTGTTGCCTAATACTTCCTTAAGCAGTGATAACCTAATTGTAACCCTGGTAATACAAGCATACTTCATTTTATTGCACTTTGCTTTATTATGCTTTGCAGCTACATTTTTTTACAAATTGAAAAACTGGTAACCCTGCTTTGAGCAAGTCTACCGGCACCATTTTTCCAACAGCATTTGTTCACTTTGTGTCTTTGTGACACATTTTGGTAATTCTTGCGGTATTTATTTCAAATTTTTTCATTATTATTATATATATTACAGTGATCTGTGATCAACAATCTTTGATGTTACTACTGTAATTGTTTTACGCCACCACAAACTGCACCCATGTAAGATGGTGAACTTAATCGATAAATGTGTGTTCTGACTGTTTTATCAACTGGCCACTCCCCCATCTCTCTCCCTCTCTTCAGGCCTCCCCAGTTCTGAGAGACAATACAGTAATACCTTGGTTTGCGAGCATGATTCGTTCTGGAAACAAACTACTTGTATTGCAAGATATCGCTCGTTTACCACGGTAAAATGTATTAGAAATGTTTGCTCGTCTTGTGGAACACTTGCAAACCGAGTTACTCGCAATCCAAAGTTTTACTATATTAAAATTAGGCCAATTAATTGCCTGTACAATTTTCTCTAAGTGTTCAAGTGAAAGGAAGAGTCACACATCTCTCACTTGAAATAAAAAACTAGAAATGATTAAGCTGAGAAAAGCATCTCGAAAACTAAGGAAGGCTGAAAGCTAGGCCTCTTGTACCCAACAGTTAGCCAAGTTGTGAATGCAAAGTTCCCGAAAAAAATTAAAAGTGCTACTCCAGTGAACACACAAATGCTAAGAAAGCAAAACAGCCTTATTGCTGACATGGAGAAAGTTTAGCGGCTGAAAAAAAAAAAAAATCAAACCAGCCAAAACAGTCCCTTAAGTCAAAGCCTAATCCAGAGCAAAGCCCTAACTCTCTTCAATTTGATGAGGGATGACAGCGGTGAGAAAGCTGCAGAAGAAAAGTCGGAAGGTGGCACAAGTTGTTTCATAAGGTTTAAGGAAAGAATCCGTCTCCATAACATAAAAGTGCAAGGTGAAGCAGCAAGTGCTGATGTAGGAGCTGCAGCAAGTTATCCAGAAGATCTACTTAAGATAATTAATGAAGGAAGAGTCACTAAACAACAATTTTCCACATAGATGAAACAGCTTTATAGTGGAAGAAGGCAGGTGCCATCTAGGACTTTCATAGCTAGAGAGAATTCAATGCCTGACTTCAAGCTTCAAAGGACAGGCTAACTCTCTTGTTAGGGGACTAATGCAACTGGTGACTTCAAGTTGAAGCCAATGCTTATTTCCAATCTGAAAATTTTAGGACCCTTAAGGATTATGCTAATCTACTTTCAGTACTCTATAAATAGAACAAAGCATAGATGATAGCACATCTGTTTACAACATGATTTACTGAATATTTTAAGCCCACTGTTGCAAACTCTTACTGAGAAAAAAGATTTCTTCAAAATTATTACAGCTTCCGAAAGCCATTAAAAATCGTGGCTTAAGTGTAAGTTTCTGGAAAATGGATAGACAGACACAGATATAGCTGTAACCAAAACATTATGGGTGATTTTCTCTTAGTATGATTGTCTGTATTCTTCTACTTTTCTATAGTGAACAGATTTTACTTGTAATCAGAAAAAAAATCATGAGTTGTTTTATTTTTAGAGTGATGCTGTGGGGCTGCACGGTTTCAGCCATTCATTCTGATTTATCTCGGATTCACTGAGCAAGAGGGGAGAACATTTGGTTAGTTAACATCCCAGTCAACTACATCATCAATAAAATAGAGCTTCTAAGAGTACCTACTGTAGAGAGAGAGAGAGAGAGAGAGAGAGAGAGAGAGAGAGAGAGAGGTGAAATGAGTTAATCCACGTAAGAGCTCGTAGCACAGTACCTGGCAAATACAGCTGCTATCCGAAACTATCAGCTGCTATTACGATTATTACGATTCTGGCTACTGTTGTAGTTGTTTCCAATGGAACAAAGGGGACAAACAGTAATGGAGCTCCAGGCTTAGGGAAGGACTGGCACAGCCATGAGTATCCCAATGTGGGCAATGACGAGGACCCTCCAAAAGGGAAGGTCATAAAGGTCACGAGGGTAAATATAGGAGATGTCACAGAGGACTGGAGAAGGGTACGAACCAGTTATGTGAAGAATGGCGAGAATAAAGCCACAGAGGTGGGGGACAGGCATGGGTGGGAGAGATGCCAGGACTCAAGGCTGCCCACACTTCCCACTCTCAGGCTCTGTCCTGGGGTGGGATCAATATTGCACTTGGGGGTAAAGGGGATCAAATATATGGTGATGGAAAGAGAACTGACTCTGGGTGGTGAACACATATTGTGATGTATAGATGATGTATTACAGAATTGTACACCTGAAATCTATGTAACTTTGCTAACAACTGTCACCCCCAATAAACTTTAATTAAAAAAAAATTATTACAGCTCATTGACAATGCACCTGATCACCCAAGAGCTCCGATGGAGATGTACAATGGGATTAACGTTGTTTTCATGCCTGCCAACACAACATCCTTTCTGCAGCCATTGGATCAAGGAGTAATTTCAAATTTCAAGTCTTAGATTTAAGAAACACTTTTCAGGGCCGGCGGAGTGGCACGTTGGTTAAGAGCTGGCTTGGGATGTCAGAGGGTCCCGGTTTGGATCCACATATGAGGGCCAGTGACACTGCCCTCTACAGCTAAGATGCTGAACAACAGCTCAACCTGGAGCTGGGCTGCCGTGAGTCACCAGCGATGGTGTAGGCTGCAGCCCCTGCTGCAGTTGGTTGCCGTGGGCTACCGTGTGTAGCCAGCAGCCAGCATGAGCGGCCAGCAGCCGCCATGAGCGGCCGTCCAGAAGCCGGCGACTGATCTGCCTTGCCCGGGAAGAGCACAATGATGGTGCCAACTTGGGCCAGTGAAGCAGCGTCCTCAACAACTAGACTGAAGAACAAAAGGACAGAAATTGTCTGTTCCCCTTCCCCCAATTCCCCAGTGCTGTTCCCATCCCCCTATTCCCCAATAAAAATCTTAAAAAAAAAAAAAAACTTTTCATAAGGCTATAGCTGCTACAGTGATTCCTGACGTAACTGGGCAAAGTAAACTGAAAACCTTCTGGAAAGGCTTCATCATTCTAAATGACAGGATTGGCTCATCCAGGGGTCGGCAAACTGCGGCTGACGAGGCACATGCAGCTCTTTGGGTACGTTCCGTCTCAAAAGTTTGCCGACCCCTGGAAGAGCCAAGCCTGCCCCTCACAACAATTTAAAAATAATTCAAGAGCCATAAATATATTTTTACATAGTCACCATTATGTGAATAATATCCTTTAAAATTTTTTTAAATGAAACTATGATAGTTTTATTTTCATTTTCAATTTTACTTCAGAGCCTGTGGCTTGCGAGCCTCAGTTTGCTGACCCCTGGAGGCTTTTCCATCTCAAAAGTTTGCCAACCCTTGTTCTATAACATTCATGATTCAAGGGATGAGGTAAAAATATCAATATTAACAGGAGTTTGGAAGTTGATTCCAACCTTCCTGGATGAATTTGAGGATTCAAGACTTCAGTGGAGGAAGTAACTCCAGATGGTGGAAATAGCAAGAGAGCTAGAATTAGAAGTGGAGCCTGAAGATGTGACTAAATTGCTATAATCTCATGATAAAACTTTAATCGATGAGGAGCTGCTTATGGATGAGCAAAAAAAGTGGTTTCTTGAGATGGAATCTACCCTTGGTGAAGATGCTGTGAGATTGTTGAGATGACAACAAAGAATTTAGAATATTATGTAAACTTAGTTGGTAAAGCCGTGGCAGGGTTTGGGAGGACTGATTCCAATTTTGAAAGCAGTTCTACTGTGGGTAAATGCTATTAAACAGCATCACACTCTATTAAAGAAATTGTTCATGAAAGGAAGAGTCAATTGATGCAGCAGACTTCATTGTTGTCCTATTTTAAGAAATTGCCACAGCCATCCTTTCAGCAACCACCGCCCTGATCGGTCAGCAGCCATCAATATCAAGACAAGACTCTCCACCAGCAAAAGAATTATGACTCGATGAAGACTCAGATGATGGTTAGTATTTTTTAATTTTTAGACATAATGCTATTGTACACTTTGACTACAATATAGTGTAAACATAACTTTTATATGCATTAGTACACCAAAAAACTCATGTGACTTGCTTTATTGCAATATTCACTTTACTGCAGTGGTCTGAAATGGAACCTGCAGTATCTCTGAGGTATGCCTGTAACTATAAAAATAATACTAATGATATAGTTTAAGTCAGCCTAAGGGAAAAGTGGAAAATATTCTTAAAATGACACTTTACCAAAATAATCCTCTAGTCTCCCACACGCCACTTTTTATAGCTCCGTGTTCTCAAAGACAAGCATCTGCCTGAGGCAACTGGCCGACATGCCGCAAACCGAAGCTGTACCCTATTACTGTACAACTTCAAGATCATGTCAACGGAAGATCATAGAAAGGGCTGCAGAAGAGCTTGGAGTACCCACTCAAAAAGTGGCTCTGAAGAAGTAAAACTAGTTTGAAGCTCACTGAGATTAGAAAATCAAAGAATCTTAGCAAAGCAGTCTAGAAATGACAAACACGTACAAAGAAAAGCTTCTGCATACCAAACTGTTAAATAATTGTGGCTGACAGAATTTTCACCTACAACGATATAGACGGGTCTCAATTTTCAACTGATAACAGACACACTAGTCTCTACGTTCTGTGGATGCTGAAGCATAAACATATAGTTGACTTTTTTTTTTAATGAAGTTGAATGTTTTATTATTAAACTTTCTTGTTTTCCTGCAAGGCTGTTGCTTCAATGTATAAAAATAGCAACAGGAAACATAGTATATTAAAAATTAAGACAGTATTGTCTGTCATCTGACACTGTAACAACTAACAAAAACTTTTCTCCACTGCTAGTTATTTCCAATGGAAAGGTCATTAAGTATTCTGAGCCAAATCCAGATGCAAAGGTAAGCAAGTTACAATATTATATAAGGCTTAAGATAATGTTTTCCTTGAATTACACTAATTTTTATAACTACATTTTACCACAAATAATTTTAGGAATTCTGAATATTATAACTGTAGCCTAACCTAAAAATCAGAGTGTTGTGAAAAAGTTGCATACTGTGTTTATCTGTAATCATTAGAAAGTTAAGGAGTATTTTCTTCCAGTAGCACTGTTGTAGTTTCTTTTTCATTGGTATTACTAAAAACCTGCTATTTCATATCTTCTATCAATCACTAATTTAAGACAACTATGCTAGGTTGTTTCGTACTATAATACTTAATTCAGGGAGGTTCCATGTTCACTCCTCAATAGACTTTATGTACTTCTCATGTTTCTTCATTTGTTCATTAGTTCATCCAGTTCTGAAGGGTTACTCATTGTCACATTGAGCAGCCAGCCATCTTCATGACAAGGTCTGTTGACAAGTCCTGGATTTTCTGCAAGAGCTTCATTCATTTCAGTTCCTCTCCTGATAGAGGAACATACAGTTGACTCTTGACCAACATGGAGGTTAGGGGTCCCAAACACCTGCCCCCCACCAATGAAAATCCTCATATAACTTAAATTGGCCCGTTGCATACATGGATTCCCAACTGTGGATCAAAAATACTGTTTTCGGTTCACAGTTGGTTGAATCCACAGAGGCAAAACCCAGGGATACAGAGGGCCAATTGTATGATTATTGAAAAAAAATCTGCGTGTAAGTGGACCCTCACAGTTCAAACCTGTGTTGTTCCAGGGTCATCTGTAATCTCATTTCTCAGCAATATTTAAAACAACAATGGGAATAAAATTGTCTATAGTGTCCTGATTTTGAGGGCAAGGAAAAGCCACCTTAACAAGAAGCAGAGTGTAGCATATAAGCAGTGAAGTTCAGTTCACTGAGGTCAGGGGGTCTAGATTATATTTCTGGTCTTGTCATTGTATCATTGAATGAATTCAACCAAGTTATTCACATTAATCCCTATTGTATAAATTAAGAACTGAGGTCCAGGCTTAATTTTCCTGGATTTTTCTTACATATAAAATAAGGATAATATCAAATACCCAGCCTATCTAACAGAGTTACTTGGTTGATTACATAAGACAAAAAAGAAGGGCTTTGAATGGTATAAATGAAAATGCTCCATCTTCCTAAAGGCTAAATTGAAAGGCAGGTTTCTATTTTTAATAATGTAAGAATTATACTTTTTCAGGAATAAAAAGAAGAGCACTAATCCTTGCCATGGCACTTTGCCTATATTTATGTTACAGCAGAACCATACGGTAGAATCACTGGATAAAAGGAACTGCATTTGACAAGTTCAAATTTGACAAAGGTAGGAATACTTTTCACTGATTTCATCACTATTTTAGGTTGTACAACACTACTTCCTACTATAAAGTACAAACTCAGTGAAACCATGCAACAAAAAGAGAGAAAAGCCCTAACAACGTGAGAAGCAAATCTGACCATCCAGGAATTGTATGTATAGTATCTCCTTGGTATGAGGGTGACGAGAATCGAGATGTTTACTTGTGATCATTCTACCCTGAATATGCATGACTTCAGAAGGAAGAGAAGTTATGGTAGTTCTTCTCCTCTGATATCTCTTAGAAATCTTTCCTGTTCATAATTGGAATTTACAAACTGGATCTATACAAATGCCTTCAATAAGAAAAAAAGTCTCTAGTTAAATAACTTTATTTTCTTGAAAAGGAAAAAAATTATTACAAAGGTTATACGGCCGAAGCGCATGCCACAGAAAGTACCACACCACAGCATTGCTGCGAACAGAAATATAGCTCAAGAGAAAGCACAGAGCAGCAGCCTCACACATCAGTGTACAGATCAGAGCAGCTGCGCTGCACACTAAATTGGCCACCAGATGGCATGACAATTCCAAAGTCTTTGAAGGGAGACCAAAGGTTATAGGTATTCCAAATGAACCAGTCACTGTGCCTTTTAATTTCAAAGCAAAATATTAGAAATCATTAATAATTTGAAGTAATTTCACTTTTCCCATTTTAAGAAGCAGTTACAGAAGAAAGAGACTTCTATATGCAACTGCCAATTACAATCCAAAGAAACACCCATTTTGTGATATGGGCTATGGAGAAAAAAACAAAAACCCAGTGACCTTGCAACCATAATATTTTATTTTCAAGTTAGGAAGAGTCTTAAGAGTGTAGCCACCTCATTTTATAAGTAAGGAAACTACTACCAATACATGTAAAGAAACTTGTTAAAGGTCACACTGTTAATAGTAGCAATAATTAAACTAAACCTAACTTAATTTTTATTCCAGGGTTCTTTTCACTACTCAAAGAAGTACCATTTTACTTAAAAACCCAATCCACTTCTTTCTGACATTATAGGCAAGGTTAGAGTTCATACACAGGCCTCATTTCTCCCCTTCCAATGTGTTCAGATAAACTTTAGTGGTAAAACTTGATTTTAACATCCTTAAGATCTTTAGAGTATTAAAACCAACCAACCAACCCAAAACAAAACAAAACCTCTGGTAAAACAAACACCTATAAATCCAGCTGACTTAGCTTCTGTCATATTTTATATCAGCTGTCAGACAATTATTCTGAATCTAAAAGGACATAATAAATGTGACATTTTCACACATGATGTTTTAAAATTCTTCAAATGTGGCCTCTGCAATTTGACCTATTACTTTTCCTTTATCACTTACATTAAAAAAAAAAAACTACCTACAAAAGCACTTTATAATAGTACAAAAGTTATATAATCTGACCTAGAGTTTCCCTTGAACCACAGATAATATAGCATGTTAATACAATCTCAACAAAAATGAATGAAATAAGATGCCCTACCTAAAATAACCTTTACCGTCATCTTCTTTTATTTCTAAAGACACAGAGAAGGTAAAGATGTCACTGTCAGGAGTCTGGGGTGCAGCAGTGGCTGAAAGTGGGGTCTGCTTGGCAGAACGGCGGAAGGCAGTGGCAAAACTGTAAAGTATCCGGCTTACCTACAACCAGACATGGAAGGAGACAGGCTGTTATCACAAGAAATAAAACACTTTTATTAAGGCTGAAGGTTACTTACTTTGTCAAAAGGAGTAATCCTTTTTCCCCATTGATTTCTTAACTATCTAATTTGTTAGGCCTATAAAGCAAGCAATACTAAAAGGAATTTTAAAAAAGAAATGGCTGTGTGCACTAGAAATCCAAGAGAAAAAAATGATTTTCTGAATATATTTATTGAAAGAAAAAAAGATTTCAGAAGTTTAGCTCTAAAAAAAAACAGTTCTCAAGCGTGTCATTGCTAGAACCAAGATGCCTATCAAACCCAATTAGCAGCAGCCAAATTATACTCTTAGCAACAAGGGTTTGGTTAACCAAACTTTTAGTTTATTCAAATTGCAGCCCATTATTCAAATCAGAATGGCATAAATAAAAACACTAGCAAAGAGGGCTGGCCAAGTGGCGCGTTGGTTAAGAACTGGCTTGGAACGCCAGCTCTGAGCAGCAGGGCCCCAGTTCGGATCCCACACGAGGGCCAGTGACACTGCCCTCTACAGCTAAGATGGTGAACAACAGCTCGACCTGGAGCTGTGCTGTAGTGAGTTGCCGGCGACGGCATAGGCTGCAGCCCCTGTTGCAGTGGGCTGCCATAAGCTACCGTGAGTGGCCGGCAGCCAATGTGAGCAGCGGGCAGCCGATGTGGGCTGCCAAGAGCTGCCATGAGCGGCCGTCCGGTGGCCGGCGACCGATCTGCCTCACCCGGGAAGAGCGCAATGATAATACCAACATGGGCCAGTGAAGCGACGTCCTCCACAACTACAGTGAAGAACAAAAGGACAGCAACTTGTGTGTTCCCCTTCCCTGATTCCCCAGCACTATTCCCCTCCCTCAATTCCTCAATTAAAAAAATAAAAATCTTAGAAAAAAACACTAGCAAAGAATTTCATTTTGCATATAAGGACCATAATAAATACTGTAATCATTTCAACACAGTGAGGGTACAGGTTAAATTTCTCTTGCAGACAGTAATTTCTGAAGGACTTACAGCTTCTTGTATTTCACACCGGAAGACGTGTATCCTGAAAAGCTCTGCATTGTAATGACTTTCCGTGAAAGCAAAACAGTCACTCTCAGGAGTTCCGTCATGCCCTCTGACACAGAAAAGGATTTTGTAGATAGGGTAGTTTGCTATTTCAGTGTTTGTCTGAGGATCTAAGAGTCTACACAGAAAAAAAGATACAGAGGAATTATAGACTATTTTCACACCCATATTATTATTCAAGACTCATTTTTCTAGCAAAAAGTTCATATAAACCTTTTTTGGTATGCTATTCATATTAATCTTAATTCTTGAAAATTAAGTCATATATGTATTCCTGAAGTTACTGATTACATAATACCATGGTGTTAAAAATTATATAGTTCCATGTTTTAGGTAGGCAATCAGTAAAGCATAAACTATATTAGTTAAGTACACGTTTCTTATACAGTCTGTAAATAAAGACTAGATCAATATGTAAATTAGCTACCAAATAAATCACTGAAGTGATTTATCTCCTAAAAAAGTATGTCATCTGCTTTATTATTTAAAAAAATAAAGAGCTGATGTGTTTGTCATAGTGAAATGTTATTCTGATTCATGGGAAATAAGGAGAGACTGTACCAAATATTAACACCTCAAGAATAAAAAATGATGTCATCATTGAAAATCAAAGGGATGTCATTTGTTCAAAACTTTATTCATTCAACAAATATTTATGTGATACCTATAACATTCCAAGCTGTTCTGGGCACTGAAGACACAACTATAAAAAGGACTAAAAAGGGCCGGCCGAGTGGCACGATGGTTAAGAACTGGCTTGGGACGCCAGAGGGCCCCGGTTCGGATCCCACATATGAGGGCCAGTGACACTGC